AACGTATGACGCGAGGGTTTACAGCCTCTAACGTATGACGCGAGGGTTTACAGCCTCTAACGTATGACGCGAGGGTTTACAGTCTCTAAGCCACACACTCAACCCATAGCACTATGCAGCATTCTGAGAAGTGGGGAGAACACAGAAGGCAGAAGGGCTAAGAGGCAGAGCGGGGAAAAGGAGATGACCAGTGACGCCTGCTGGCCAAAACGGGGAAGGGTCACAAAGGGCAGGGTAGCATGTGCACTGCCCCTGACAAGAATGTCTTGGAGTAACTTACCATGTGTTACACAAGTTATACATATAACTTTATATTTTTATGTAAGGTTCAAAACTGTAACCATTACATCTTGAACAAAATATTCTGGCATACTATATACTATGTTTGAGCATTAAGAAATGATGATCTGTTGCCAGCAGCTACATGCCTCTTCATTTGGAAATGAACGGGGTTTCATTATCGCAGCTTTGCCCAGGTGAGGCTAATTAACATCATTTAAATTATGTCATCACCCAAATAAGTAGTATCAGGCAGTCTATGGCCTGTAAATAACATGTTTCACACAAGTGGTATTTATCTCATTACATCTTCGGTAATTTTTTGTTTGTTGGTGTCCAGAAGTAAATAAATACATGTGTTCAGGTGACATTTTCATAATGAGTCAAAAGTGATGATTATGTAATAATCTTGATTCAATCTTATACTTAAATTAGCTATGCTCAATTTCAGTATGTGCATACTAGGAAATTACTGTTTAAAAAGATTGTATATCTCTCAATATGTAAAGTTTTATATACACTGTAGTTATTTAAGCATTAAATGCAACCCTGTGTGATGCATTACCTCTCTCAGATAACTATGAATGACAAAGGTACTCTTAACATTACAGTATGTATAACTGTGTCAAAGCATAATGAATGTATAACCCACCTCACCATATTTCCTCTGAAAGTTAAATACATACATGCTGGTCTCCCTAACATAAAGTTTTAGCAGAAATGATACAAATAGAATCAGATCAAAAATGCTTTGTAATTAAAATAAATTAAATCAAAATAATGAAACACAACATAAATATAAAACAGAATGATATTTTACAGCGAAGTAACAAAAAGAGAAGGCTACATTAAAAAAGAAACATCAGGTCTCAAAAAGTGGAACTATGAGCATAAATTATTTTGCACAGCTCATAATCATATCAGCATTAATTTTATATTGGATTACTTAGGAAAACAGGTGACATTTCACATCTGACATAATGACAGAACAGCTGAGATCACGGTGACAAACATTAGCAATCAGCAGAAACTCAAATTTATCTTTGATGGAATGACGCAAGAAAGGGATTTGGATGATTAGAATTTATTACAGAAATAGAATCCCGAGTGCCTATAGCTTGCTGCTAATATATTCTTATTTCTTCCCCTGGGTGCATCCTTTAGCATCAGCATTCCCATTGCTACCTGGTCTTGAATCAGCAGTTTAACTCCATGTCTTCCAACCCCCTCACAGCCTGAGTCAGCTATATATCTGTCACTGTCGGTATAATTATTGGGACACACAGCATCCTTACTCTGCTCCTGTCAGGACATAAAACAAATGTCCCTAAATCACCTTTCTCTGCATTTTATTTCTGACAACTGACCACCCTGACTTGGGTAAAGGATTGTATATATTTTCCCCTGTCCCTGTCATGTCTTTCATGAATATTTGGATATTAGAACATGCATTTTTATAACCTCATAATTCTGCCTGTGGGCAGAGAAAGACCATGTACAATTTTAATAGGCACAACCTGGCAAGCATCTCAGCATGTTCTTGAAAAATGAGAAAGTACTTATTTAAAACGGTACAGGGAACAGGCCCATCAGCTTTTTACCTCCCAGAGTGCCGGAGACAAGGATGTGGGTGCCGTATTTCTTGATGATGGTGTCGATAAACTGCTGGGTGGAGGGACGTCGGCCCAGCTGCCTCACGCTCTGCTGGAACGCGGGCATCAGTGGAAGCGGGTGCCGGAGCAGGTCCCTCCTCTCTACGGCAGTGTTCCTCACCTTCCAGCGTCCGAATTCTCTGTCAGTCCAACACAGGAAGTTCCTATCATATGTCAGCAAAAGTGTTCAAGTTCACCTGAATTCCACTTCAAAATTCATAGTAAGGTAAGTGAAATTATGATATGAATGGAGGAAATGTTCCACTCATAATCATGCCATTAAGTAATATTTTCCATGTGGAACCCAGACCAAAAAATCTATGACAATCTTAACCCCTACCCAGCCCTAACCATAACCATAAATAGCCAAGCAAAATACAAGAGTTTTTGCATTTTTAGTTTTTTCATTGCAGTCACAGATTTTTATTAAATTCAGTTATCCCTTATGGGGACCTGGAAACTGGGGGAAAAAAGGGGTATTCATTACGTTGTGGGGACATTGTGTCCCCATAAGGTAAGGTATTCCCACTCACAGACACACACACACACACATACACATACACAGACACACACACACACAGGCCAAAAACAACACAGGTAGCAGTAACATTTGATCTCAGAAGAAGATTACAATGGTATTTGTTTGTATCTGTTTGACATTACACGGTAGTTACTTAGTTATACCATTGGTCTATTATAGTTTCATGACTGTTATGTTGGTCATAATGCAGATGAGAAATAAATAGAATATAAATATTTAGACATATAATAAATATAACATGAACGACATTTTTAGACATAGACATTAAAAGATACACAAAGAAATACAGTTACCCATTTAACCATCAAGCTTGTTTGCTTTATAGGAATAAAATCTGGTGAATTTTCTGTGAGGGAGCTAAAATAATTATGAATCAATTAGTTGAACAAGAACAGGAGTTGAACGAGAACAACCTCACAGGACTCTAATTTTCATAATCAGAAAATGGAAGCTTCAGACATGTTCATTCTTATTCCTGGCACAAAAGTCCAATGGGGGGTGAACAAAAATCTCACTTTGAATCCATGCTCCTCAATTAACTACCATCTCCACATAGAGAAATGTAATTGCCAATTACACTGCCAAGAGAACAAAAAAAATCTTGCTGGAAAAGGTTTATAAGTTCTTTGCCTGCATACATTATATATAATGGTTAAAAAACGACTTTCGACTTCAATATGTTGCAGGTATACAAAATGAATGGATGGATGGATGGATGAATGGATGGATATATGCATTAGGAGTGTAACGGTACACAAAATTCAAGTTTCAGTACAAACCTCGGTTTTGGGTTCATGGTTCGGTGCAATTTCGGTACAGCAGGGAAAACAGACCTATTTTATCATTTATTATTAAGACTGCAAACACTAACACCATTTGGAACATTAAAAACCAAATACAGTAGGCAAGGCATCTCTTGATGTGTCTGAAAGACAAAACCTCGCATTTGGTGACGCATTCGGTCTTAAATTTAGTAGAAAAGCACCACCCAAATAAGGGTGTAGCAGTGCAAGCGATGAATCTGTTTAACGACAATGCAATGTTACATTTCTGTGAAATCGAAAAGGAGGCAAAAACAGCTGTCATGGGATAGGTTCCTTGTTAAAGTCACGCAAAAAGAAAAAGATTCCAATGAGCCAACAGATAGCAGTGATTCCGTTAGTTATAGTGAAAGTCGTCCTACAAAATTACCCTCCTCTTCTCCACTCTCGTCTCCCTCACACCATCCACGATTCTTTTCAAAGGTAAAGTGCAGGTTCATTTGTTTTATGTATTTTTACTTTATATTTTGTATTAATCATTTTTATCATGGAACGAATCATCTGAGTTTCCATTATTTCTAATGGGAAAATTCACTTTGATATACGAGTACTTTGGATTATGAGCACGTTTCCGGAACAAATTATGCTCGCAATCCGAGGTTTTACTGTAATTGTATTTCTCTTTCCAAGAGTTTAAGTCAGTCTTATGAATTCATGGAGAAATAATTTGGTGCAACCAGGATTTATTTTTAAGATGCAGAGAGGGCAAGTACATGAATTCTGCATTTGTGATTCCTACTGGATATCAAGGACAGGGCAATATCATGGTCTGGTCTCCTGGTGACGGAATCTTTACCCAATCCACAGGCATATCTACCAGCATATATATCATAACATACATCAAAGACATGTCATTCCTCAGGATTAATGATCAGTTCTTCATTTTTCAGTAATACAACGACCGGTGACACCTCAAAATTGTGCAAGAACTATCTAATGAAGGAAGAAAATGAAACACATCTTAGATTAATCACCTGTACCACAAAACAGAATTTCTTGCTTAGCCGGATAAATTGTCCGATTTAAAGTTCCCGAGTTTAAATTGACTTTATCTTAGTTCACTAGTATTTAGCCCAGACTACCTTAAATCTGAAAAGTTATCCAGTTAAGCAAGAATAACCAGCTTTGTGATACAGGACCCAGGCCTACTCAGTCTCCAAACAGAAGACAGAGGAGTCAAAACAAAGCATCCACAATCAGGAACAGCTGCAAAAGGGATGAAAAGACATATCATCTGATTTCCTGCTGAATTGTTTTCACAATTTTTTTCGAATGCCTCGTGTTTGTCAAGCAGTTATGAAGGCAAGTAGTGGCATATTTTGAGGAATCCAAACTTTTGAGACAGTTTTCAATTATTGAACACTGCTATAATGTTAGATACGATGAGTAAAACCAGTTTACAGCAGTTGCATTTACACATTGCTACCGTATATAAAAAATCTTATTTTATTAAGAAACAAAAAGGTACAGTAATTTTAAAGGTAATTATTTCCAGATGTTATCCCTCATAAGAAAAACCAGATTACAAGCAGTCAACATCAACAACTTGCCACAATACATTGTTTTTTTTTCATTGAAATTCCTCCATTCTGATTTTTATTGAATATTTTCTCCCAGATTTCTCTTCCAGGTTCTAATAATTGTCATGCAATAAATTGAAAAATTAGGAGATGGCAAAATACTCCTGTAAACTTCACAAAATGACCAATTATGGGCTGCAGTTCAGCAGCGTGGGAGCGAGAACAGATTTTTATATTTGTATTTAACTTTTATTTTATAAAACTGAAAGTATGAAAAGAAAAAAAAATCTTCTTTAGATACATATTCATTTTTTTGTACCAGGTGACACAAATAATGCAGCTGATGATGATTCAGATTGACGGCTAGAGGAAGACAATACACAATTGAATGTTGCTTTATATAAAGGCAAGAGCATATAGTGAAACAGACTTTCCAGCCGTTTTGTGCTTCTCTAAGCTCTCCAGTATCTGACCATCTCTGAACAACTCTACTGCTAACCTTTAACTCCAGCTAATATTGCATTCCTCTGCAGATGCCTGAGGATAGACACTCTAATCTTGGTTTTCATATTCACATGACAGATAAAAGTAAAGCCATAAATCAAATGGCAGCAGAGACAATTGAATTCCTGGGTGATTTCTGGCCAGTTTGCCGGAAATCAGTGCATGTTACCCAACTGCCTTTCAGATGGTCTCACACCCCTCCAGTACCAACTCTGTTCCTCATCCAGCAAAACAAAATATTTGAACTGCCGCGCTGTTTCAAGACAACAGACACTATTGTTCATTTTTAAGATCAGTAACCATTACTGGCTTATTTAAAAGTATGAAAGAAGTCTAAACATATGCTTTATAATGTTGACTTCAAAAGCAGAGATTATGTAGCTAGCATCAACTATATTTCATTTCAGCAGTGCGGTTACAGTGGAGTTCAGAGACTAAGCACAGCATTCAGCTTCTATTGAAAAAATAACTACAAAATGTTTTAATTATTGTTGATTCTTTGCATTAGCTTGAATTTTTTCATTGGGGCGCTGCTAGAGTTTTTGGGCAAATATTTTTTTTTGTGATATTAAAATATGTGTTAGGATGATGCAGTTGTAATTTAAAATCTAAGAATATAAATTTTCTTATGCAGCAATTCATAATAAAAACAGAATCAACTATCAATAACCATTTTAACAGAAGTTGTGTCCAAGTAGAAGAGGATATGTGAAAAAAAATATTATTCAATAAATATTATCTAGCCCCACAGTAAAAGTACCAAAAATAGGCAAATTTGACAAAAAACAATATTTTTTTCCCTAGTCCTGAATACATCTACTGCATAATTCATCTGATTCTGCAGGTTATTCTTCAAATCATATGTTAATCAATCTACTGTACAATAAAAAACAGAACCTGAGGTACTTCAAAGTTATACCAACATCAATCATTTAAAAACATAGACAGTATACATAACACATATAAGATGATTCTTTCGGCTTTTATGCTCCAACAGCAGACAATAAAGTATTTAAAAGGGAACTTTGCTGCTTAGGTGGCTCACAACTCCTTTATATACAAAATAATTTCAAAGCACAATCAATTGCAACAGTCTTTTTTGTGCAGCCTTTGCTGCCTGGGATAAGCAATAGGTCCCCCCATGACCTCACACTGATAAGCGAACGGACAATGAATTAATACGTTATGTACTTTTTTTGGTCGGTATTTGGAGAACCATAGCACTGTGGTATCTCGAAGTATTTTTTTTTTCTGTAAAAAAAGGTCATCATATTATTATGCATCAGGACATACAGCTATGATAAATGTTTGAAGTTCTTTCATATTACTACTTCTTCAGAGGCCATTCTTCAGTCTGGGCTTTTTAATATGACAGTTGCTACCCTGGTGATGCTTGTGACACGCTTAGAGAAGCTTTCTCAGAATCGGCTTTCTGCTTTCCAAAATGATTGCCAGCCACTGAATTACCCACTTATGCACAGCATCGACTTTTTTTTATCAATCTATAAATGAGTCTGTAGTCCCTGTTGTATATAGAATCACATTTTCCATAAAGAAAGAGTTCTGCTATTGCAGGATGTGGATGTACTGCGGACGTACGTCATTGTATGTGCCTAACAATAAATGCTCTTGCAAAGGAACCAGTTTCTCCTGGGAGTTTAGCTGGCAGTTGCCAGGTTAAATGTGAGCCCTTAACTACCATGCTAGCATCTGTCCTAGTAATATTCTCAGGTTAGAGAGTCTGCCAGAAATTA